CCTTCCCCCAGCTGGAGCGATATCTGCGGGACACGACGACAGGTAGGAGCCGCCGGTCGGTCGGAGTCGGTGGGGGCGAAGAAGTGGTCGAAAGCTGCGACACTTGAAACCGAAGGAGAAGGGGGTCCACCAACCACCATCACCATCCTCCTCATCGTCTTCATCGTGAGGAAGAGGAGGAGGGTGAACAATGTGGTGTGCCGCCCCCGGGAGAGCAGCGTTAGTTGCTGTTTTATCTCCAGTTTTTTTTAAAGTTTTTATTTAAGGAAACGTTGTTACGGAGAGAACCGCGCTAACAGAGAGCTAACAGGCAGGCAAAGTTAGGGGAGACAGGCACTCACTGGGGGGGGGGCAGGGGTGTTTTTAGTGAGGCACCCCGGAGGCTTTTAGCTCGAGTCAAGTGACAGGTCGTCGATAATGTTGTCAATGATGATATCGATCCGTAAACTTGGTGTAGGGGAGCCATGATGCAGCACCGCGGAGGGACCGAGCACAGGTGTAATTTCTCCCCGGCCTTGCCTCACAGGCAGCCGGGCTGGACTCACACCGACGTCCCCCTGTGTTTACGTATCCACCGGGAGCTCCCGGGGGCCACAGCAACCCCCTTTCTGCGTGTGCTGCGTGCGGCCGGTGTCCGCTACAAACAGTGGATGTTATTATTGTTGTTATTATTATTATTTTTGTCTGCCATTGGGAGAGTGGCTGTCAGTTCTGCGCATGCGCTGTGCGGATTCTCGCTGCTGGCTAACTAGTTAGCTTCAGTGATTCCCGTCAACTTTTAGTCAAAGTGCAACACGGAGCGTTACGAGCTGATTGTTGTTGGTTATTGTTTATTAAAAAGAGAGGTTTGGGAGTTTAAGTCGTCGCGTTTGTTGGTTTGTAAGCTGTTTCAGTTGGTGGGTTTTTAAATGACCGTTAGTTCTGTTGGTTAGCCTCTAACAGCAACGTTATATTGAATAAAGTTTAGAGACATAACCGGTAATATTTATACTCCAGGTAGCTATAATGTTGCTGTAACGTTTCAGAGTCAGGCGTGGTTTCATGTGTTTTCAGTGGTTCGTGGATTCCGGGTCTGCTGAGGATGTTAAAATGTAGAAAGTGTAAGTTAATAGTTTATAGCGGAGAAACAGAGAAAACTGGAATTTCCTGTAAATGAACGGGGTTCCTGAAAGTCTCACGCCAGTCTCACACTGACTGATCCTTTTGTTTGTTTGTTTGTTTGTTTGTTTGTTTGTTAGACACACATAATAACAGTATCATGACCACAATAAGACGACAGATCAATCCTACATTTAACAATAAACAATCTGGTTCAGTAAAATGTCATTTATAGCTTCAATGCGTCAGGAACTGTTAGAGATAAACTCATAGGAGGGTTTTTCTTAAAGCATCTCATCTTATAACTATAAACTATAAATAACTATACAAGAGAGATGTAAGGATTTACAGTGAGCTTTATTTTAGACATTCTTAAGAGTAGTTCATTAAGTTTCCGTCCAGTAAAGCACGACACAAAGACACATTCGTTATCGATAACTGGCAACAAATCGTTTAATTAATCACCAAATCTATCTATTGGCATCGATCTGATCAGCTGCAGCCGGGATTACACGACCTAATGGAAAAGCTGCAGAATAATCAATAACACAAGTCTGGTTTTGGATCTGTTGAGCTAAAATAAATTCTTGAAGATGACCACGTGATCTTATTACCTTCTTAAGACCTTTTACCGTCAGTCACAAATGTATCTTTGATAGATTATCTTATCGTAAGTTTCAGCTTTAAAGTGCAAAGATCCGTTGCTCGGTATGACTGTGTTTACGTTCTCACAACTATCTACCCAGGAAGTCGCTGGCAACTAATTTTGAGAACCGCTAACATAGTCAACATCCTCCTTTCCTTTTATTCATTCAGGAGTAGTTTGGTTGTTTTCCAACAGCTGCTGGAAGAAGTGTCATATAAAAATACAAACAAGGGCCGAGCCAGAGCTTAGACTGAAAGGCATTGCTGTCGAGTTGTTCATCAGTTGTCAGAAAGCTGTTTTTCATGAATCAACACTTCTGTTTTTGTTTCTAAAGTCAGTGTTATGATGAATCTTGAAACCAGTTAAAGATATAATCGCACTGTTGAGTTCATCTCTGTTGACACAAAGTTGTTTTCATTAGAAATCCCCTGAAAGAAAACTCAATCGAACATTATGACACACTTTATAATTAACATGTTGACCAAACACAAACGCAAATCCTGTTCCTGTGTTTTGTGATTTGATTGAGCTTCAAACGAGAAATGATCTTCCCCCTGTAGCCTCCTAACAGGGAGGAAAGACATCAGAGTCAGCTATAGGAAGAGCAGCCGGGCAGCTGGCTTAAGGGCACTTCAGCAGGATGAATGTTTATTGACACTGGATTTATAAAAAGCTAAGATGAACAGTCACGTTTTTAATCATCCTGTGTGTTTTCCAGTTCCTAAACCCCTTGTGGAGCTCCACGTGAAGCTGCTCAGAAAACTGGGGAGGTCTGTGTCTACTGACCGCTGGGAGAAATACCTGGCTAAGGTGAGTGCTCTGTGCACGTCTGTGTGTTTGGCTTCAGGTTCCACTCGCTTGATGAGTTAACAGGACTCACTGAATAGGTTCAGCCATCGGTACGTTCAGCTTTCTCTGGAAGGAGAGCTCATTTGCTGCTTCTCCTCAACTTTGTGCTCAAGTTTCTCACCTGTCACCACACCCCACAGCTTAAAGTAATTGTACAGGAATGGCAAAGTGTTAGTTAATGGGACCGGGATGCAGTTACAGCCCCTGTATGTTATTTACTGTTGGTGTGTTTGTACAGAAGACTCTGAGCTTGTGGAGCTTTAAGTGGAGTGACGTCTGAGAACTTCCCACTTACTGTAGAGCCTTTTCATCTGTTGTGGTCAACAGATGGAGAAAAGAGGACGAGACAAACCAGAGAACATTAAACCAGACACATCAGTGATTGGGATGGATGAGTTGTGCAAATGTGCTTGTACGCAGTGAAATCTAATCGTTTATTCCTGTAGGTTTGCCAGGAGTTGAACAATACCTGGGCATGGGAACTGGAACAGAAGGGCTACCAGGAAATGTCCATGGAGTGCAAGTCAAGCATCCTTAAAGTAAGACATGCTCTGTTTTTGCTTCATGTAATTAGTGCATCCACAATGCAACAATCACATTAACCTTTCGCCTTCATCTCCCTCCTCTTCCCTTCACTCACTTATCTTGTTTACCCTCCAGTATCTCTGCGAGTGTCAGTTCGATGACAACCTAAAGTTCAAGATGGCGATTAACGAGGAGGACCCGGAGAAGATGCGTCTGCAGCCGATAGGTCGGGACCAGCAGGGCCTGATGTACTGGCTTCAGCTGGACCACGAGCAGAACATCCGGCTGTACACGGAGGAGCAGGACGATCTGGACGGATCCACCTGGAAGTGTATTGTCAGGTAGTACTGTTGTCTTAGCCTGGTCTGTCTCAGGTTCAGAGTTATTATAGTTTTGTATTATTATTATTATTTTATGACAGTTTTGTTTTCAATTCAGTTAGTTTCCAGAGTGGGTTTGCTCGTTTCAGTTAAAAATGTTTAGTTTGAGTTTAGTTTTTATTAGTTTTAGTGTTATTTTTAGTTTTTAAATTGTAATATGGAGGGTGTTTGTCAGGGGAAAGATTTAAGAAGTTCAGAATAGGTATTACAATACAAACACATTGACTCACAGTCTCAATAAACGTGCACCAACGCCTCCTCATGCTTGTTGTGTTGACACATTTGACAAAAACTAAAGACTATGTATATTTTTATTTTATTTTATTTTGTAAGTACACAATATTGTTTTAGTTTTCAGTCTACTAAATTGTTTTTTCACAACTAGTTTTAGTTTTTAGTTTAGTTTTAGTTAACTATAATAACTTTGCTCAGGCTATCGTCACATCGTCATCTGATGGCTCATTCTAAGGTAACAACAACACTTGAACACATTAAAATATATAAATACCTATAAATATTCCTCCTTACACACTCGTATTGTCTCATTACTTATTTTTGTTTGCCTCTGTAGGATAAAAGCCTCCAGTGCCACATCAGTTAACCACTTTCTGCTCAAAGTTTACACAAATTCTTCTCTACTGTTACATCTTTTTCTTCTCAGGACACGTAATGACCTGGCTGAAGCTCTGGAGCTGCTGAAGTCACAAGTTGAACCGAACCCAAATCAAGACCAGGACCCGAACCAAGCTGGCCCCGGGAGCCCCAGCCCCACAGGGCAAGATGCAGGTGTGTTTGGGCGTATGAGTAGATTTTGCTTTGGATCGTAGGGTTTATATCATGGAGGGAAAAATCTGCTGAGCTTATAAATACATGGTAGTATCAATATCACATTTTTAACACAGAAAATATTCAAAGTAGCTGTTCAGCAAAAAAAACCTCCAGTCTTTGAAGGCCAAAGAGAAAGATTTGTCAACACATAATGTTCTTGCTTGGTCTATATTGTGGCAATAGTCACTCTACAGTTGTAGTAGTAATGATTAAAAACGTAAAATACCCAGTAGGCCAAGATTGGTTTGTGCAGGACTGAGTGTGTGTGTGTGTCTGTGTGTTATGACAATTTAGGGGATGAAGCCATTGGAAGCACCAACCCCGAACCCTCCAAGACCACAGAGGAACACACTGACAGTAAAGCAGTTGATGCTGTAAACAAAGAGAAACCCCTAAGACCAGGTACTTAGATCAGATAAACTTCTAGTTGAACCATTTTTGAGAAAAAGCACCCTTGAATTGAGAATAACTAGGCAATAAAAATGTCTGATTAGGGCTGTGCAATATGACGATAGAAAAATCATTTCATATCATGCGCTATTGTTTATTTTGTTTTGGGAAATCACATTCTTTACGGCAATATTTTTCTTCATTTGGACATAACTTGAGAGGAGCTACTTCTGTTGCAGACTCAAACACCACTAACTTCTTTTACCTCCTACGCAAGAATCTGTACAGAGAAAATTGATGGATGAGAGACTCAAAAGTACAGTCGAGTGCTCAAAACATCGGGGTATTTTTTGGCTTTATTGGTGTAGAGCTACAGATGTTGTGCTTACATGGTTAGCGTCTTAAACCCCTCGAGCATCAGGACACAATTTTGTTTTTATCACTGAAAAAGGGGGAAACTGGCCAAAGTATCCAAAAGCTTTCACTCTTTTACTTGACTCATACAGGAAGATACATGTGACTGGTAGACACACCCTGATCCGCTCCTAGCACTCCTCTCTTGTTTGCAAGAGTATAATTGTTTTGTCTTTTTTGTCTCACAGTGGTGAAGCAGGAGCAGACACAGCCTGTTAAACAGGAAAACACTGAGGCTGAGCTGAAAGAGGAGAAGACTGACCACAGACCGCCTGCCTTTGATAACCGCGTGAGCACGATCACCACCATCATCAAATCGGAATCCAGAGATGCTGAGGCCCCCAAGAACGCTGTGTCGGTCGTCATGGCACCAGGTGCGACTGTGACAAAACAGGAAATGAAGAAGGAAGAAGAAGCAGAGCGGGCAGTTGTCAGGAGCAGCCAGCAGGCCAAGATACCACTGAAGAAGAGGGAGCTAAAGCTGGCAGAGAGCTACCACACCAACCACCTTAACAACAGCAGTAGTATTATTGTTTGCAACCCCTCAGTGATCCAGACCAAGGACAGTCATGGACGAGAGGGGAAGTTACCTGACTCCTTAGCGCCCCCTGGTGGTCAACCTGCCTCACAACAACAGCAGCAGCAGCAGCAGCAGCTAGTGGTCACTGCATCCAGGCAAGAGCTGACCAACGGGAGAGCATCTCTCCTCCTGCCGCACAAAGAGGGACAAAATGGAGTCATAGGTGTCATAGGTCAAGTTGGTGTTGTAGGTCATGTAGGGGTCATCCGCAGCCCATCTGAGCGTCACAGAGCTCCCGGTGCAGAGCAACAGGAACAAAATGGGCCGAGTTTAGACCACCAGGGCTCCAGAGCTGTGGAGGAAGAGAGGGAAGTGAGCCGGCAGTCAGTGCTGGTAAGGAAGGGACCTGCTGAAGGGGACGCGGCAGCAGCAGCCGCCGCTGCCGCTCTTCTTCCTCATGCAGCAATGGAAGCTCAAACAGCCAGAAAATTACTGTTATCAGAGAGAAAAGTGGATTCTGTTTGTGTTTCCTTGCTGTCTCATTCCACAGAGGAACCCAAAAGACAGACGACAGAAGTCCAGGGTAAAAAAATGACAGAGGAGCAGGTAGACAGGGGGACAAAAACACATCAACAGAAATGTGACAACGTGGAGGAGAGGGAGGAGAAGATAAGAGAGGTGTCTGGGCACCCTGCAGCTGAGGAAGGAAGTAAAGATGACCATGAAAAGAGTAAAAGCACTTTAGGAAAGTTGGATGCCGAGTCAGAGAGCACCAGTCCACCTCTGAACCAGAAGGATAAAAAAGACCACCAGGGAGACGGAGTCAACGGTGGGTTGGCAGCCCCGATTAGGGTGACGGGCACTGGGATTGGATCAGAGGAGAGGCAGGGTCCCCTAGAGGAGGCCTCCTCTGAGCTCCAGAAAGAAGGAATCCGGTTAAAGATCAAGATTCCTCCCCACCGGAGAAACAAGTTAAGGGGGAAAGGAGTAAAGGAGGAGGACAAAGAGAGGGAGCAGGAGGTGCAGGAGGAAGGGAAGCCACTGAGGAGATCTGCGAGGATTTGCAGGTATGTGTGTAATAAAATTTATGAAACTGGTGAATCAGAGAATAAACTTTGTCCATTGGAATCTGAGGTCCAGCTGGTTTGATTTTGACAATAAATTCAGTCCCATCTGCACCTCTTTTCTTGAAGATCATCTGCTTTGCCAACCTGCAGGCCGAGCTCAAAGGCGGCTGAGAGCCAGAGAAAGAAACCGCAAAAGAAACAGGGTCTGTCTTCCAGAACGAGGGAGGAAGAGGAGGAGGACGACGAGGAGGAAGAAGAGGAAGAAGATGAAGAGGAGCAGGACTCTCCTACAAAGAAAGACAGAAAAACAGAACCTGTTGGTCAAATTAGAAAACAAAGGGTAATAAGTGTGCGTGAGAATGAACACAACATTATTTTTCCGCCCTATTTTTTGTCTGTTTGACTGTTTCTCTTCTTCTGTTGCGTTTTAAGGGCAAACGGAGGCATCGACGCGCCCGATGGTCCAACATTCGTTCGAAGAGACGCAAACTGAATGAGGGAGGGGAGGTGGAGGACGGCGGGAGGAAGCGAGGAGAGGAGGAGAGCGAAGGAGGGAGCGACTCAGAAGAAACATGTAAATCAGAGGAACTTCCCAGTGAGGACGCCTGCAGTCACTGTGGCCTGCCCAACCACCCTGAACTGGTGAGAGACTGTTTTACGCTTTATTTACCAGTATGTACCTTTTATTTTATGTTCCACAAGTGTGCAGGTATACATCAACAAGTAACTGTCAATAACATAAAATAAAGGCATACCAGGGCATTAATATACAGGTAAATTAATAATGAGAGTATAGAGTAAATACAGTCCAGTACATTATGACTCAGACAGTAAAGGATACAGCGATGCAACAGACGGTGTACACCTGCAACTTTGATCTCTTATTATCCCTGACCTGACCACTTCCCTGTGGGTCTTTCTCCAAATCTCACGTTACATGCAGAAACAGCATGTTGCAAGGTAAAAAAGGAAGTACAAATAAGCATTTCTATCATGGTTCTAGCTACATATTTATCTAGCTAGTATTTATCTATTTATCCATTTTATTATATATATATAGACACAAAGTGATTTGCACTGGTCCAAGTTTTGGTGCACTGTGGTTTAAATTATTAGAAACTTTAGTGCTATAGCATACAGTGATATTTAATACTATAGTGTATTTCCAGAGTGCACAAAGCCAGCTCCATAAAGAAATGACTGAGATGAGCTCGATGTGAGAAAGAAACGCAGCGATGCACATTTAAAAAGCTGTAACCAGCAAATATCTGTTATCTTGTCCTTGATAAATGACTTGAACCATAATTCAGTTATAAAAACTGTCACCTCTATCTATTGATGAATCGTTTAATCTAGTAATAATTGCACTATATATTTATAACGAAGACGCAAGTAAATTCAAAATATTGAAGCCATCTAAAAGCTTTGTTGTCAGTATGTAGTTTTACACAGTGAAAGTGTGGTTAATGTCACAGCTGGAGTTATCACTAAGAGTACTTAGAACTGAGTTATTTCGCTGTATATTTATGTGTGTGTGTGTGTGTGTGTGTGTGTCCTCAGATCCTGCTGTGTGACTCTTGTGATAGTGGATACCACACTGCCTGTCTGCGGCCGCCGCTCATGTTGATTCCAGATGGAGAGTGGTTCTGTCCCCCCTGCCAACATGTAAGCTGTATGTGTGTGACAGAGAGCAGGACTGACACATACTGTAAAGCACATTTTTCTCCCATTATATCAAACTATAAACCTGTTCATGTGTTAGTGGTAAAACTATTGAAAACATTAATTAGCATTCTATCTAAAGTCTTACTGTTTGGTCACTAATGTCTTAAAGTAATCGAGTAATTGAGAAATGTATATTTAACAAGAGATACTGAAATGTTTCTTTTCTAAATAACAATCAGGAAGTATTTGACCAAAGAATAAGCATAAATCTGACCAGACAGATTCAGTTATTGAACGTTTTCACCACTCTCTGCATTGGACACATTTGAGTGATCCTAATATAGTGTTGAGATTAAATTCATTCAAGAGTGACAGATTTTTTCTGGTGTTTGGTTTTCCTCCCTTCAGAAGCTGCTGTGTGAGAAACTGGAGGAGCAGCTGCAGAATCTGGACAGTGCTCTGAAGAAAAGAGAGCGAGCAGAGAGGAGGTACACACACACACACACACACTGTGATTGACTTCCTGAAAAATGTGTGTTTTGACCCTCCTCTCTCCCTGTCTCTGCAGGAGGGAGCGGCTGGTGTACGTTGGGATCAGTGTGGAGAACATCATCCCTGTGAGTTTTTTCGTTGTACCACACCAGCGATTAGTTTTAACACAGAGCTTCATATAATCCCCGTCAGATTCTGCACTCAATTCAGCCTGAACGTGGGGAATAATGTGATTACTGAGTTTTATTTTTCTGTAAGTTTCAACATGTTTTTAATGGCAGAAATCACAAGCAGCATTCATTATCATCCATTCAGTAAATCAAATCTCAGGTGTTCATGTTTCTTACGAGTTGGAGCAAAGAAAATTACAGACGTTGACACTGAATCAATACGCTGGGAATATTCAGCTTTGGACTTCAGATGGACTGCAGCCACAGTTCAGACAGTCTGACCATCTGTTTATATTTCAACACAAATTGTTTTGACCGTCTTAGGAAGGAGACGAGGAAGAAGAGGAGAAGTCTGCAAAGAAGAAAGATTCCAAAAAGAGCAAAAATCTGGGAAGGAGATCGACCAGAACCAGGAAGCACATCAGCTACAGGTGGGTGTGGCCTGGCGAGGGTTAAAGGTTAAAGGGGTTTTCTTGAAAACAAAGTTACGTTTAGTGTTTCTCACCAGAAACACACGTATTCAATGTATAGTGTTTTTTCTCCCAATTTTTAAAAATTATTTGGAACCTCCATTGTTTACATTCATATTTACTAAGGCTGCAACTAACGATTATTTTCATTATCGAGTAATCCGTTGAGTTTCTGATGAAATGATGAAAAATGTTGATCACTGTTTCCCAAAGCCTAAGATTCTGTCCTGAAATGTGTTTGACCACAACTCAAAGATATTCAATTTACTTTCAATGAGGATTAAAGAAACCAGAACATATTCACATTTGAGAAATCAGAGAATTAGGAATTTGTATTTCTTAAAAAATGACTCAAAACAATTATTCAATTATCAAAGTAGTTGGCGATTAATATAATAGACAACTAATTGATTAATCGACTTATGAAGTAGCAGACTTCTTCTTTGTTGATGCGTTGATGCAACCAACTGTGTAAAAAGTGAATGGGTCTATATTTCAGTCCCATTATTGCCTATTTGACCTGTTAAGAGCCAAAATGGCTCTTGAAACACTTCAGTACATCAGCACTGCAACTATAATTTTATAGTGTGATGACTTGTGGTGGTGCAGTGATTGTGAGCAAATTTTAATGTTTCCAAAGCAATAAAAATCCCGGACAGGCAAATCAACATCTGATTTGTTTGTTTGTGTCGCAGGTTTGATGACTTTGACGATGCCATCGATGAGGCCATAGAGGAGGACATCGGGGACATCTGTGGTGGTGAGTGGACGATGTGATGGTTAAAAAAACACATTTATTTGATGTATTTCTTCCTTTAGGCAGCAGGTACTCAGAGCGGTTTTGCAGTTCAGTATCAGTGAATACATCAGTATTTGTAAGAGCTGAACGTGTGAACTTCAGTTTATAGTGTGTTTATCTGAACTTCAGCAAAAATAATAAGGGATTCAGGAGATCCCCGACTTGTAAGATCTGGTCCCAGGACATCTGGCAGAATAACATTAATGATGGCTTAATTAGTTATTCCAGAGAGCTCCAGGAGACTTGAAGCTACCAGTGAACATACACTGAGTATATTACAGTGAAGAATGGGACATCTTCTCAAAATTAGCATATTCATAGATTGTGGAATTTTTATTACATTATTTTACAGTTTTTATTGCGGGGTAGAATAGATGACTTTTTAAGGATTTTAATGTGGGAAAAATCTGACTCACATTATGGTCCCAAGCCTATTATTTGTATATATGTCTTTATCATAAAGTTCAACCCCAGGAGAAAAAGAGTAGACCTTTATAACTTGGACTGTTCTGACGTAGGCGCAGGCGCAGGCCAAGGCAAAGAAATCACAGCCATCCTGTCAGAGGACGGGAAGGAGAGCCAGCGGCCAATCAGAAGCCAGCCCCGTTCTGCCAGAAACAGGAAGAAGCGGAGACTGAACGACCTGGAGAGTGACAGCACGGCAGCAGAGAGCGAAGACGAGTTCATGCTCAGCAACAGGTAACACACGCTCTTCTCTCTCCGTGTCCTCAGTCTCTCTTTTAAAAAAGTATTTTCTTCCGTTTGGCTAATTTTCTTCATCCTCTCCCCCCTCAAAGCTCGGAGGATGAGGATTTCGCTGCATCAGGGGCAGAGGATGAGGAGGAGGAAGATGAAGATGCGGGCAGCGACGTGGGCAGCTTGGACAGTGGGACCCGCCCCAGACGGGCACCGAAAGGGGTACCTAAACACCGCCCAAGCAGGACCCAACGCAGGGGTAGAAAGCGGCTGAGACGGCGGCGGAGACGCTCCTCCGAGGAAGAGGAGGAAGACAGTGAAGAGGAAATGGGTGAGCTTCAATGTTAGACCTACACTATAAAAACCTGACAGAAGTTCAGAGTGACGTCTTCAGATGTCAAGTTTGGTCCGACCGACAGCCCAGAACCCAAACATTTTACAGAAAAGAGCCAAACATCACATTTCAGAACCTGGAACCAGAGAATATTTTGCATCGTTGCTTAATAAATAAAGAGTTAATCGATAATGAACATTGTTTTCTGTACATTTTCCCCACCTATCTCCATTTCCTTCTCCAGACTCGGATCAGTTCAGTGACATGACTGACAGCGACGCTGACAAAAAAAGGCGGGGCCTGAGGCGGGGCCAGCGCCAGCAGGTCAACTACCGCGAGACGTCTGAGTCATCGGACAACTCCCGGACCTCCACCAACAGGAACAAGGTTAAAGCCCGCGGCAGACCACGCAAGGAGCGCTTCTCGAGTGACTACAGCGATGGTCAGTGACCGCTGGCACCTGCAGCATCATTTCAAAGGGCTTCACAACCTGAACACATTCAGCAACATCTATGTTAAATTGGTGCTTCACCTTTAGTTATTTTCATATACAGGGTTGAACTCATTTGGGTGTGGAAGTTATCTTTTCTCTTGTTGTGGTTTTAACACAGAAGGATCTTATGAGAAATCTACTGATGTGAACTATCTGAACTTTACTCAGCTTGCTTAATCAAAGTAAACCAACTAGTTGGTAGATCATGATTTAAGTGAGTGACTGCAACTCAGAGAAGTTTAGGGGTTTAGGCCACCAGAATGAACGACAAATACAGAAGATCTTATAAATGCTGGTCTCCATATACTAATTAATAAAAACATATCAGTAATGTATTTAAATGTTTTGACACAATAGAAGTGCTCAATACCTCAAAGGCTACTCGCGGGCTACCAGGTGCCCTTGTTTAAGTTTAATTATGCAAACCGACAAAGTTTCTTAAAACCAGATTACGTTTCTAATGCAAAACATAACAAGATTAATTTTAGACCAAAAATAAGAGTCCTTTCCCAGAAACAAGGCTTTTTTACTTTCTTGAGATTCCTTTTTTGCAGTGTGAGCATATATACAGGTTATACTGTCCTCACACTGTTTAAGATAGAGACTGGGTTTCCAGTCAAGTGCAGTTTGTGTGATGGATGTATTAGATACAGTTTCCACAGTACTGCAAGAAAATAAATCTTACAGTTGACCAGACTAGGGGCTCTAGCAAAGAATACATTTGTAAATTCTGGAAATGGGATCTGTAATGTGGTTTATCAAACTGTTGTCAGGAGTTTATTAAGTGCACCTCAGCAAAGATTTATTCCACCCAACAAATCCTTTCCTTTTCTTTTCCCCTTTAGTGTCGCCCTCTTCCAGAGACTCGGATGAGGAAGATTATGAAGACGAAGAGGACGATGGGCAGAGGAGGAGAGTGAACAGGAGGAGAAGAGAGGAGGAAGACCTCCGGAGAAACAGGACGAGAGACAAGCGGAGAAGATACGAAGACAACGAAGAGGATGACAGAGAGAGAGGCCGGCGGCTGAAAAGGAAGCTGTTGGAGAAGGAGAAGGACAGAGACAAGCGGAGGAGATTGAGCAGGACAGACAGAGAAGAGGAGGAGGACCTGGAGAAGATGGGCAGGGGGAAGAGGAGAGAGATTCTGTTACAGCAGCGGCGCAAACGACTCGCCCAGATGCTGAAGAAACGGCGGCCTTCGACGGACGAGGAGGATGAAGATGAGTCGGATGAATCGGAGTCATCGTCAGAAGAGGATCGTCCGATCCGCAAAAGACTGAACCGCATCGACTCCGACGATGATGAGGAGGAAGACGAGGAGGAAGAGGAAGCAAGACAGAAGATGGCGACCAAAAAGTCTTCAGCGGGAGAGAGGCGGGCCGACAGCAAGAACGACAGCGACGCTCAGGAAAAGGGGAGGGGCCGTAGCCTGTCTCCGTCAAACGGACATCGGACCTCCAGAGGCCCGGCGAAGCCCGGGGCTGGAGGTCCCACTGTGCCCAGGGACAGTGCAGGATCAGGCAGACAGGGCAGGCACAATGGCCCCTTACATCCAGGGGAGGAGGAAGAGGAGGAGGAGGAGGAGGAGGAGGAAGAGGAGGAGGGCCAGACAGACTCTTTAAACTCTGTCCAGAACAGTCCGCAGTCATGATGGCTGTGTTTGTGTGAGTAACGCTCGCTTCTTCGTTTCAGTTTTTTTTGTTTAACTGTCAGGCCTTTTTACCCACAAACCACCACTGAAACTGGATATCTCTCTCCCTCCACCTCTTTCTCTCCCCCTTCTTACTCTCCTGTCTTGCTCTTCCTCCTCGCTGTTGTATTGTGGTAGAGTGCTATCCACCATCACGTGCTGTACGTCACAACACAAACTCACGAGTACTCATTCACACTCATCGTCACCCTCCGGCAGAGCGAGCCGGACCGAACGCGACCTCACAGCGGGACCGGCAGCACTCACACACAGCCGGAGGTTGTCGCGACCATTTCTCTGAACTCTTGAGTTACGGACGTTGAGATGATCGTACGTTCATCCCATTTTTGGACACAGGAATCTGTTTGTAGTGTACCTCATGCTAAAGCACATCGTCATTCTCATAGCACTTAATAACCCGCCACCAAGGCGAGTGTCAGTGTCAGACCGAACACTTTGGATCATGTGACCTGATGGTTAGACAGACCAGACCTGATCCCCAAAACAAAAACAGCAGTTTCTCACGTACCTGTAGTGGTATCGACCCATGCAGATAGTTTTGTCTCTGAGTTTTCTGAGCAGTTAACAAATACCAGAGTTTACACCAGTTGTGATGTACATTGTGAAAACTTTATTTGACTTCTGACTTTAATGCCCTGACCCTCTTCCGTAGTGACATCGTTTAGGTCCTTTTTCAATAAAGAACTGCAAATATTCTCTGGTTACAGCTTTTCAGTGGTGAGGATTTGCTGCTTTTCTTTGTCTAATGTGATAATAATCTGAATATTTTTAGGTTTTAAAGTGTTGGTCCGTCAAAAAACTAATTTGATGACACCATTTTGAGATTTAAGATATTTCTGACGGCGTTTTTAAACTATTTTCTGACATTTTATAGAACAGTTAATTCACTATTTAAGAATATAATCAGCAGATGAAAGAATAATGAGAATAATTAGCTGCATTCCTAGTTAATATATTCGTATAACTGCCAGCACTTTGTGATTGCTGCTAACAAGCAAAAATGGTGGAGTTTGTATCTGGCGTCCGTTATTAACTGACACACGAGGACCGCCTGAACAAATGTGGAAAACATTTAAAAACTGACCACCATGCAGTGTATTATGGGATATCAAAAAGGATTCACCCCTTGTGTCCTAAAATAGTCAATTTTAACATCTAAACACTGTTTTCCTGCACTGGGTTTCACCAGTTCTGTGTAAAGTTCTCTCCTAAAGTCGACACGAGAGGCTTGGTAACTAAATTGGTTCCTTTCTTCTCGTGTAATTATTACGTTTTTACCATCGACATATAAAAGATAGACGCCTCTACTTCCTTCCAATGTACGAGAATGAAGCTGAAATATCCGGATGCGGCCGCTGCCATCGTACACTGGTGACGTGAAACCAAACTTATCAGAAAAAGAAACACTCAGCGTGATAAGAACCATCTAAAATGACAGAATCTTTATTTGACGTGTACTTTGTACGTTTAGCGACCCATCTGCTAACATGGAGGGGGCGAGGATTATGACCTGTACTGCAACCAGCCACCAGGGGGCGATATAGATATTATGTCATGTGGTCCATTTTTATATGTTGATGCTTTTCTATTTTACTTTTTAGTTCTCTTTAACTTGTCTCTGTGGTGTAACTGCTTTTGTTTTAGTAATGCATAAATCACAACTATGGGATTTTACGTTATAACTGGGCGAAGTTTGAACTCACACACAGCTGGTGCAACAGTTCCCTGAACCGGTCGGATCTTGTAGTATCTTGATCTTAAACTGATCAGGAGGTCTCTGTGGACCATTTTGGATCCGGGTTACATTCGGGACTTTCTCTCCGACATCCAAAGTGTTCGGTTTCAGACTGCTCACTCATTTTGTTCCACGAAGCCTTGACTTGTTGGGACCTCGTTTGCTGTACATACTTTGCCTGTACGCTGTTCCTTGTAAGATAATAGATGTTCTGTTCTCTTAGTCCTCTTGTAAAATATAGTGTTATATTTTCTATATGAAGGAGAGGAGGAGAGATGCTGCTGTGAGCGATGTGTGGATCGATAAGGTTTCAACATCAACGGCGCGCTTGTTTTTGTTTGAGATTCTGTGTGAAACAAGACCAGCATGGAGCCCGTTCACCGGAGCTGGTTCAAGGCGCGCTCTCCGCCACCGAGTCGCACATCTTTAAAGGTTTTTAACATTTCGTATCCCTGAAGGAGACAACAGGAGTTTTTAAGAAGGAATAGATTTATTTTATTTTTTCGATTGAGGCTCAGGTGAAGAAAACTAACGCTGGTCACCAGTCAAACAAACTTTGTTTTTTTTTTTCTCTACCAACCATCACTGTAGGGGTTTACACTGGTCTAAAACGGTTTCATCTGGTGGAGAAGAAAAGTTTTTGTCGGACAGAAAGAAAGAATTCCTTTAACTTCATACAGTCAGATCACTGTTCAGGCTTTAAAAGAGTTTCGTCCTGCTGTTCACACGAACCGAGCTGTTAGTGGGAGGAGGTGTTACTCCCCGTGTCTTTGAATTCCTACTGATTCCCCCAAAAGTTAGACTCAAAAGTTACTTACAGATCTTTCTTTTTTTTATTTCTTCGTGTCAGTAACGAGCAGGATTTTGAGCTGATGTCCGAACTCTGAGCCTGTATTTGTCAAACTTCAGAGAATTACACGTTTTAGTAAAAAGATCTTCACTGATAGTGAGCAATGACACGGACTTATAATGCAGCTTAGTCGTACTTACAGCAGAGCGCAAGAATAAGGTCAGAGCAGCTGCTTAGAAACTGCCATACTGTCTTAAAACAATCCTCCACATTTTACTCACTGCTGTCTTTTTCTACAAATAATATAATCCTGAACATCTGCAATAGCAACTAACAACAATATACTATATTTTAGAATATATAAATACACACATAGGGAATAATTCATGGAAACAAAATCAATATGAGATTTATTCTTGTTGTTTGAACATTTGGTAAATATAAAAGAATAGAAAGTCGTGTAACAACCCGTCAAATGTTCAACGATCGACAGATTAATCGATAATGATGATGGTTAGTTGCAGCCCTGCTTAGAGGAAGTGCTCTCTCATCACGGAGGATCTGCTCTAAACCAAGTTTTAAAAAAAATCACGTTTAGTGGTTTGATAAATACGGGCCCGGATCAGTCTGCAGCTCTGGTTGTGATCTGATGAGTCTGACACGGCATGAGAGCATCTTTTAATGGTTCAAGAACAAAAAACTCATTTCCACTACGATTATATTTAAATTGGCCCTCATCCAAGTTACAAACACTTTACTCTTCAATGTGATCGACTCTGAAGCTTTTCAGGTGCAAGAAAGAAGTTTTGTTTTCAGAAAACAAAATGCAGTTTTCATTTCAGCAATGTTTTTATTTCCATCCACTTTTCCACAGTAACAAACCGGTCGAATTCCCTTTTTAAGAAGTGTTTTCTGTGCAGTGTTTTAGGGCCAAACTGCTCAATTAAAAGTGCATTTTCTTCACTTTTCATCTGTGGAAAATTGCCTGATAATATAAAATGATCCTTGAAGGTCGACATGTAACTGCGAACTGAAGATGCACGTAAAGAGAAACTCAGATAAGAAGGAGGTTTATTTTTTCTACTTTCATTCCATTTTAAAATTGAACTTTTTAGTGAGTCGGGCACTTTTACCGTTGCCTGTATGTGCCGATCTTATCATAATCTGTAGAAGGTCATAGAGACGTTTGTGTAGCCATGTTGTTCACCAGTGATCTTGTTTTTTTGTTTTTTTAGATCATGGTCTGAAACTTTGTTCATGACAAATGTTGTTCGACTGTATCCTTTATGGTCATTTTGAAGAACATACTTTAATGATTAAAAGACAAGAAAATCGAGTCTCTACCAGTCAAACCTCAGATTATATTCGTGGTTTAAAAATCAGAAAATGTTCAAAACCAGTTGATTTGTGCATAAAATGTCAGCCTTAGAAGAATCACTACTTTTGTTTGTTTGTTTGTGCAGAAGAACCTCTCAGTTTGCCAAAAGCATCAAATGAGATTTAATTGTTGTATTGATCGTTGGGATTACTGCTACGTACTGGCCCTGCTCTCTCTCTCTCTCTCGCAGATAAATGTGGGTTTGTGGCATTGACTATAAAAAAGTAAAAAAGGCTGGAGTTTAAATGTTCTTTCAGGTACTTTCCTGCCGTCGTTCAGGTGTTGTGGGACTCCATTGTGGATAAAAAAAACACCCGTTAGATAGGAATAAAATGCTCTATGGACAGGGTCTCGTTAGCTGGAAAATCCCCTTAATGGCAGCATGTTGATCATCACAGCATTGATTTTATATCATCTCAACTGGACTCTCAGAGGATTTTCACTTGAGTCAAATCCAATGTGTAGTTTTCTCTCATCAGGATGGTGCAGCCCTCTTTAAGGCGAGATGAACCACCCCGCCTGCAGTAAAAGGGAGATTAATGAGTCCAGAATCATTCCACTGAACCTGCTGATGTGCGCCTGTGTTCGCCTCTGCGGCTGAATCTGTTGGTTTTAAAATGTTCAGTCCAACAAATCTGGATTCAAACAGGCACCACTGGATGTGAGTGCAGCTCCTTCCATTTCTCTGTTGTACTGTTACTGTAGTATCGCTGTAACATAAATGTTTTCTAAGTTATTAAAACCAACATCCCAGGCATCTCCTCAAAAACACACCGTGTCTGTGCCTTTTTTTTAAAATAAAATTCCTGGAATGATTAATAGGAGAAGCAGATGATCCTGTTTGAGAAGTTTCTGTGAAGGTTTTCAGACGTTTTTCTGTATGTCACAGTTTAAATTAGGTGTAATTGTGTATCTCAGTTCACCACAACCTCAGTTCTCTGTGCAGAATGCAAACTAAGTTCTCACATTCACCTTCAAGGTTTACAAGGTTTGAGCTTCGGTAAGTATAAGATTGTATCACTTAAATTAAGGATATTGCAATTAACCGACTGAGGAGCATATTAACTGATCTGAAAACAGCCCACAAACTGGATTATACAAGCTTTATGTCATTTCTTTAATGTACGGATGGGTTTTTAAACAATGCATCTAAACCACCGTCAACGGGGAGGAAAACAGACTAGTGATGATGCCACAGAGACATTTAATGTAATTTCATTTTAATAATCACAGATAAATGTGATTAAATGTAATGTCTTTTCCTTAAAATATTAAATTACATCAAATATCTAACTATATTCATTATTATTATTACTTTCACAAATAGTATTCAGATTTTTATTTTGTCCCGTTTTAAATTCTGGTTTTCGTATTTTAAAGTTTTACTGCCCTCCGGTGGATGAAACATGTAACTGCACCTCTGTCTATTTTTAAAAATCACAATCAGAAATACTTTATTGTGCATTAAATTACAATATATAACAACAACATATATAGAAAATAGAAAATGTGTATAACAATAGGTTGATTATAGTCCACTATATAACAATATATAGAAAATAATCATTTAAAATATGTATATAATGCAGTTTACAACGTTTCAGGGGGAATTTAATCAGATTTTATAATAATACTAATTATAATAATACAATTTGGTCAAATCCCCTTAAAATTGCACCTGAAATGTGCAATACTCTGTTTTACTACACACGTTTTATACTGTACTATGCATATTTTGAATGTCTTATTTTGTATTTGCTATATATTGTTATATAATTTGTGGAATAAAATGTACATATAACATTTACATACTTTTTAATATATATAATATATATATTGTAATTTAGTGCACATATTTTAAATATCTTATTATTATTATGTCTTGTTTACTAACTCAAGCCACTGTAACGCAACCAATCCCCTCTATATTATGAACATGTAGTTAGTCATTTTTTTCTTGCTAATCTGTATATTTAACACTTGCTTTGGCAACGTAAACGTCTGTTTGCATTGCCAATAAAGCCGATTTGAATTGAATTGAACTGAATTGCTATTATGTCTAAATTGACGCCCACAGAATAAAGGTGCGCCACCAATGTCTAATGCTGTACGCCTCATCTTTAACACTTTAATTCCGCTCTAAATCGATCCTCTAACAACTACATTTACACCATTCAATAAAGTATTTCTGTGATTGTGATTTATATATATTATATTATATATAATATACAGAGGAGCAGTTATATGTATTGTCCACCGGAGGGCAGTCTACACATTGTTCTACACTCAGAGCCAAGTCAAGTTTAGCGTCAGACATTGACAGTAGATAGACATTATCTCACATTATCTCACAT